TGAGAGAAACGACGGAGAAAGTCGAGCTTATCCGTAGGAGGCTTGTTACAACCCAGAGTCGTCAAAAGAGTTATGCCGACCGTAGGAGGAGGCCTTTAGCTTTTGAGACGGGTGATCATGTTTTTCTGAAAATATCACCTAGGCGTGGTTTGATGAGGTTTGGGAAGAGTGGGAAGTTATCCCCTCGGTTTATCGGTCCCTTTGAGATCCTCGAGAGGATTGGAGAGGTTGGTTATCGTTTGGCTTTGCCGCCGCAGTTATCCGGAATGCATGACGTGTTTCATGTGAGTATGCTTCGAAAGTATGAGCCGGATCCATCGCATGTATTGGATTGGACCGACTTAGAAGTAGATGAGGATGCCTCGTATGAGGAGAGACCGGTTCGGGTCTTGGATAGGTGGGATCAAGTCTTGCGAGGCAAGACCATTCCCTTGGTAAAGGTTTTGTGGAAACATCACGGAGTGGATGAAGCCACTTGGGAACGTGAGTTGGAGGTTCGAGAGAAATATCCAGATCTATTTGTGGATGTTTGAGTATATGTTGTATATTTTATTGTATTGTTGAACCTTAAAGAGTATTGGAAATATCTTAGGTTGTAAAACATTGTGTATGTTTTGGTTTAATGGAAGTATTTTGGAACTTGCCTTGAAATAGAAGTTTGATATAACATTGCATATGTTGAATGTGTTATAGAAATGGAAATCATATCATGAATATTGAATATGATGTGGAAATGGGAATCATGTGCATTTTAAATTGTTGAAATGGCAAGGAAATGCATGTTGAAATGTATTTGTTGTGAAATGCCGCTTGACAAGAGATGGAATGACCAGGAAGGGTCGAGTTATTTAATGTTGAATGTAACATTGTTTAAAATGGAGAAAAACTTGTTCTTTTGAAATCTTGCATTTAATTTCAGGGACGAAATTCTTTAAGGGAGGGACGTTATAGCAATTCCAGGTTTTATCCCTTGTTGTACAGTGAATCGGACTTGGTTCCGTGGATGTTAGCAGTTGTTTATATCTTGTTTACATCCTTTCGTACTTTGTATTTGAGTTATAGAATGTGTTGGGCATGTTCTGAATAGGTAGGTTGAGTTTTGGTCTCAAGTGTAGTTGCCCAGGTTTTTGGTGTTATGCTCGAGCGGATCATTCTGCGCTCGAGTGGAGTTTGGTTTTTGGCCCGCTCGAGCGTTGTTTACACCCTTCTAGCATTTCGTGCCCCTGCAAAACTTCTGCAGGTGTGTTTTCTACGCTCGAGCGGGTTTCTTGCACTCAAGCGGGTCGCGCTCGAGCGGGCTTGTTGGCGCTTGAGCGGATAGTTTTTTTCCTGAAAAGTTCTGGGAGATGAAAATCTACGCTCGAGCGGACTTGTTCTTTGCGCTCAAGCGGACGTGTTTTGCTTTTGTTTCTTGGAGCTCGAGCGGGCCTTTTTACGCTCGAGCGGGTCCAAATTTTTGTGTTTGACGCTCGAGCGTTCTATTCTCCGCTCGAGCGGGTCATACGTATATGAGTCATCCGCTGGGTAATTTTAAATCACTTTTTACATTTCCTTTCTCTCTCTTACTTTTCCAAAATCGTTTTTGAGAGCCTCTCTCTCTAGGATCTCCCTTCTCTTTAGGGTTTGATCTAGTTAGAGTGTCCCTCTTCCCTTCGCCCTTTGTAAAAAGTGTGTGGATCGTCGAGGGCTTCGTTTTGATCCGTGGATCTTGGAGTTTGGAGCATTTTGGTTTTCTTCAACTTCCCCGTTTAAGCTCTAACTTCGAGGTAGGGATATCCTATTCCTCTTTATGAGCTTTGTCTTTAAATTTTTAGCATTTTGATATAATGGGGATTGTTGGGTAATTTTGAGCAAGTTTGGGCCTTTGTGTAATTTTACAAAAGATGGGGTTTTATTTATATAAGCCTATATGCATGTTTAGCATGGAGAAATGAGATAAATATTGGGTTATTGATAAAAATGGAACCTTAGGGTTGTTTTGTTAATTATGGGAAATGCCCTAATTATATTGATGAATTAATTTGTGAAATTAATTTTGAGAAATGAGAAGTTGAATTGAGAATGTTGAAATTGGGATCGTATGGGATCAAAGGGTGTAGTTGGATCATTTATCACTCACCTAGTTGAAATGTTGATATTTTATCCATTTGGTGCATTTATTTTCTGTTTAGAAATAACTGCTTTGAGCTATCGGTGGAGGATAGTCTTGATTGTTGTAGACAATGCATGATGATTAGGCGAGCTAAAACTAATCGATTGAGTATGCTATCGAGTATAGCGGTTGGAATAATACATCAACTTTATATATTGATTGAATGTGTATATTATCTATGTTTATATACATTGTGTGTGGGAAGAGATAGTGGATGTACTCCGCGGTATAGGGGAAGATAGGAGATTGACCTCTAAACCGAATTTCGTGTGACATTGATACAGCACTACAATGTGTATCAAGTGTAGATTATGGAAGTGTTTGAATTGATTTGATATAGCACTAAAATGTATATCGTTATCAATTGTGAAGTATAGAAGTGTTTCTATGTGTTATTGATACAGCACCAAAATGTGTATTCATCGTGAATTTCGAAAGTGTTTAAAGATGAGTCTTAATCTCATTAAGTCATTTGGCTAGATTCTAAGCTTTGTTTTCAAACTCAAAGTTGAATAAGAAATGGAAACTGAAGTGTGCCTTAGGCATGATTGCTGTGAAACAGTAATACGACATATGTTGGAATACAAGTGTGGACCATCTATTGAATGCTATTATTCTAGTCATTGTTCATAGTTGGTTTAGTATAATTTTACTAGGTTGTGGCTCACCCTTCATGGGATATCATTTTCAGGTACAGGTAGCATGCTACCTTTAAGGACATAGCTTGGGAGGCTAGAGACAGACAGACTGTTTCTGTTGTTTTGTTTTCTTTTGATGTATTACGTGTATATCAAGCCAAAGGCTTTCTTTGTATAGAGTTAGTACTCTTTTTTTTTGTAACCAAGTGTTGGCTTGGAAAGTTGTGAGCCCATAGGGTATTTACTTTCCTTGTCAACATGTAATACATTTTGTAATGATTACTCTGATGGAATATATTTATGCTTTATTTTCTCGTGTCTAAGCATACTATTGTTGGATGATTTATGGGTTTATTTTGAGGGCGTTACACTAAAGCCGTTAATGGGTGACAGAAGTCTCATTTGAAGGCTGAAGCCGCTAATTGACCGAAGCCTCTTTTGAAGGCTAAAGCCAATGGTGATAAAGGTTTATCCAAATGGACCTATAATATTTATATTTAGTAATATTTCATTGTTGTTTGTTATGAAAAAGAAAAATTCGTTGTCATTAATTTGTGCACCTCCTATTCTGAATTACTAGCTCCGCTATTGGTGATGAAGACTGTGGTTGTGGAAGGGTGGTGGTGATGGTGGTAGTGGTGGAGGCAGCAGTGGCGGGGATGATGGTGATGGTAGTGATGATGGCGGCGATTGTAAGATTATAACGATATATGTTGATACATATGTATAAGTATTTATAAATTTAGTCATAATTAAATAAATTTCTTATCTCTTAAAACGTTTTTAGTTTTTAACTTATATTTTGAGTACCACTTAAAATTTTAAATGATACCATGCCCTCGTTTGACATAGGCAAAAATGAGGTTGGGAGGCTAAAATAGCCACAAAATAGACTAAAAATCAATAAGGCAAAGTGGGCGTTTGGGAAGTGAATTTTTATGTAAGTTTTTTTAGTTGTAGGATATTATTAGATAAATTTTTTTTGATGTTTGGGAAGATAGTTGATTTTTTTTGTGGTTGAATGTGATGTTTATGAGAGAAAAAATGAAATGATTATGGGGTTGGATGTGATATTTTGTTTGGATGTGTTTTTTTGGGTTTTGCAAAAAGTTTGTTTTTTAGTGGAAAAAATAAAAAAAATCCCAAACCCAAGTTCCCAAACACCACCAAAATGTCAAATCCAAATTATAATATCGAATTAATGTGATTTTTTTCCGATCAAAGATTTCTAATATCGAATTAATGTGATTTTTTTAAAATATAAAATACTCAAAAAATTCTAATTTAAATTATGGGTGAATTACACTAATAGTCCCTATCAAAAATGCTTTAGAGCTATAATATAGGAGCTCTAATAGCTCTAATGGGAAGGTGGGTCCCACCCTGATGTGATATTTGTGCCTTGTTTTGTTTTGTTTTGTTTTTTTTTTTTTGCTTTGACACATCATTAGAGCTCAAATTAGAGCTCTATATTTAGAGCTCTCTATCATTTCCCTAGTCCCTATAGTTTGGGACTTGTGTTATTTTGGTCTCCTTGACTTTTTAATTGTGACACATTTGACCATAATTTTTTAATCTTATTCCAAATAAGGACAATTGAAGATATCATTAGATTTTTCAAGGGTAAAATTGTCAATTTGATAAAATATAAACTAATTTGACAAAAATAAATGTAAAACAAATATTTTTGAATTTTTAAAAATTATTTCTACCCATTAAAAATAAAATTATGTAAAATTGATAAATTTTTTAAACATTTATTTATTTTTTTTACCAAATTAATTTTTATTATGTGTTTGGATGATGATCATGTAAAATTAATTTAAAAAAATTAATTATGTAATTTTTATTAATTTTATCATTAGTGGATAAAAATAATTTTTAAAAAATTAAAAATATTTTTTTGATATCTATTTTTGTCAAATTAGTTTATATTTTATTAAATTGATGATTTTATCTTTAAAATTAAATAATTGTATCTTCAATTGTCCTTATTTAAAATAAAATTTAAAATTTAAGATCAAATATATCATAATTAAAAAATTAAAAACTAAAATAAGACAAATCTATTTATATAATTTGTCCTTAAATTATTAAAACAGAATTCGTAATGACCGCCACGGCCAACAAGCCTCTCCCTAAACGAAACCCATGATCCAAAACGGAGGACCAATAACGCGGTTTGGTTAGGCTCCAATTTTGACTTGACTCAATATATTATATAGAGCGTGAACGGCACAGTTTATAAGTTGTTTTGATTACGGTTTGCTCTTAAAGTCTCTTTTCTTCACTCTCTGTCTTCGAATTTAGGGTTGGTGAATTTCTTCTCAGACTCAGAGGAATCAATGGATGCCCTAGACTCCGTCATTGATCCATTGAGAGAGTTCGCCAAGGACAGCACTCGTCTCGTCAAGAGATGCCACAAGCCCGATCAAAAAGGTATTAAAAAAAAAAAAAAAAAATCAATCGCATTCATATGTGATTTTGATCTAATTTCTAATTCAAATTTAAAAAGACTTTTGATTTGCATTTTTTGGTGTAGAATTCACCAAAGTCGCGTTCCGTGTTGCTATCGGTTTCGTCGTCATGGGTTTCGTTGGTTTTTTCGTGAAGCTGATCTTCATCCCTATCAATAACATTATCGTTGGTTCTGCATAGGTAATTCTTCTACACATCGATCTTCTCTTTTATTGTACTGTTTTGTTCATTAAATTGGCAGCTGAGAATGAGTTTTTTTGTTTTGATAATATTCCACATAATATTTACAATTTTTATGGTTGATCTGTACATGTACGCGTCTAAAGGCACTCCCAACAAAACTTAAGCATACATTTTAGTTTTATTATAGGACTTTTCAAAGTAAAACTGGTAAAAGCTTAAAATTATGTTTTTACAACGTTCTATAGATAACTCAATCATATATATTTTTTGTTTCCATTATTCATTTGTTACCAAATAATGCTACAGAAATCTAACGGCACCAAATTTTAAGACTACAAACACCAAAGTGTAGACGTCACATTAACACAAAAACGTATATATCTATCTATCTATCTATACTATTATAAAGTGAACACCTGTTATAGTGTCCTGAAACTTTGTTTCTTATGCTGCCACGTGTGTACTTTTTTAATTTAAAATTAAAAAAAAAAATTAGATGCATAAGTGGAGGGATTTGAAACTTAGATTTATATCAAATGAATAAGACTCTTACCACTTGATTAATACACAATATATAATAAATTTTTTATTTTATTTTTATTTATTTGAATAGCACACGGATCGCGTGTGCCAACCGTTAGTATATATATATATATATATCTGTCTATTAAAAGCACACTTGCCAATGTTGTGCAAACCAAGAAAAAATTCTGAACACTACAAACACACCAGACACAGCTATTGTACATTTGTTAATGCTTTATTACTTAACACCAAATGAAGCACACTTGCCAATGCTCTATAATCCCAAAAACTAAAAATTAAAATTAAACGACAAACAATGTACACCGGTCAGTGCTCTACAATCTCAAAAAATAAAAAGCAAAATTAAAGTCAAACCTTATATAAAAAGAGATTCAAGACTTCGATATTGAAATTCTCATAAGCACTTGTCATTGGGAGAAATATGTGTGTTTATAATAAAAGAGTCAAAATATATATGTTTTACAAAAGTGGGTTATAGCTAGCCTTTCCCCAAATCAAAAGCAAATGGGAAAAACTAACTTTGGTTTTAATTGGTTCAAAGATGCCATACCTTGTTCCCCATGTGTTTTTCTTTTATTGTCCCTTATTTAGCCTTTTCAATCAACCTTGTAATTAACTTATTTATTTATTTTTGATAAATAACCTTGTAATTAACTTTAATCACTATTACAAACATTGAGAGTAGGGAAACAGTTATCTATGAATTAGGGAAACACCGAGATGCTCATAGAAATGGTAAAAATTTAGATTCCACAATTTAATAAGGACAAAAGCCCTAGTTATGCAAAATCTAGTTTTTTTTTTTTCTTTTTCCTAAACATGTCATGGTCAATTCAAAAAAAATAAAAATAAAAATAAAAAACCTAACATGCCGTGATCAATTAAAAATTTAGCTTTAACAGATTAGGCAAAAAAAACAACATTATGCCAGGACCAATTAAAAATTTAGCTTCGACGGATTAGGTAAAAAAACAACATTATAAATTCAGATTTTGCTAAACAAAAAACAAAAACTAAACAAAAATCCAGTAAAGTTGTAATTAAGATTTGAACATTAAAAACCAACTTCGACTCCTCAAACAAAGATCTGAAATTGTAAAGGAAAAAAGAAAAGAGAAGGCTCAACTTGTTCAATGTGCTTTTGTGCCCATACTCTCAATTTCTTGGAACACTCGCTAATGGATCCTCACAACCTTCCATTCCCTCTATAACAAAAATTTTCCAGTCGAAAAACAATCAAAGCAAAACAGAGTAAACAGTTCGTTTTGGAAAATAGAAAAATCAAACATCTATATAAAATTTAAAAAACCCCTCTATTGGAAACAAAGGGAAATTAAAAAAAAAGATTTAAAAATTAGAATTTAGGCATTCAAAACAATGTTAATGTTTAAATTATAGTCAAAATGATCATAATGATTATCATCAAAATTGCATGAAATTCAAAAACTGAATCAAGGAGCACAAAATTATACCAAAATGCATACTCTGTGCACTTATTTGGCCTCATAATTATCACCATGTTCGAATGAGCATTCAATACAAACACATGAACTTTCTATAAATGGCATTACATGAAAACTCCAATTTAAGGATTGGGTTTTCAGGGGAAAAATATAAAAAAATAAAAAAAAACAATAAAAAAGATTTTTCCTCGAAATGCTGTTTAAAAAAAATTAAAATGAAGTTTTAGGAATTGGGTTTTCAGAAAAGGGGAAAAAAAAAAAAAAATCAAACACAAAAGCTTTCCCCCCAAAATGTTTGTTTCCATGAAATATATGGATTTTGAAATCAAATAAACCCTAATTCCACGAGAGAAAAAAATCAGTCAGAAAAGGGAAAAAAAAATCAAACGTGAAAGTTTGTTCCCCAAGATGTTTGTTTCCATGAACTATATGGCTTTTGAAATCAAATAAACCCTAATTCCATGAGTGAGTAAGTGTTTTAGTGTTAAATAATTCCATGAGAAAATGTCCTAAATTCATGAGAAAGCCTCAGTGTTAAAAAACAAACCCTAATTCCATTAGAAAATGCCCTAAATCCATGAGAAAGTAGATAAATGAATGGAAAGCAGGTGTTTCGGTGTAAAATCCCAAAATTCCTCAGATGATAGAGAGAAAAAAAATTAGAGATTCATACCTTACAAAACCAGATTTATTTGAAGTGCAACAATGGTGAGCTGGAATTCATGAGATGGCGGGGAAGAGGAGCAATACGGTGTGGAAGGTATGCTGTGAGAGAGAGATTGAGGGAGAGAGAACGAAGTGGAAAACATTTATGTGCGTGGAGAGAGAAAGAGGGAGAAGAAATATTGTGTATGTGATGGGCGGGAGAAAGAGAGATAGCAAAATGATCTCAGCCGTTTATTTTTTGTTTGGAAAGATTTGGACCATTCTAACCAATTGTAAGAGATAGACATTTAAAAAATAAAGCTGCTTTATCACATATATTGAGTTTTTATTTTTATTTTTGATATATTTTATTTATTTATAGGGTAAATTTCAAATACACTCTTGAAGTTTTTCCTAAAATATTGATTGCCCTATGTGAATATGGAAATTGCAAAAATGAAATTCTTAACTATCTTTCTATACAATAATGAAATTACCAGAAACTGTTAATTGAAATATATTGCTGACATCATTAAAACTGTTAATTGACTTAATGGCTGATTAATGAAAGGGGTTATTGATGCAATTAGAAATTTTAAGGGGCGGGATATAATTTCCAGAATCATAGGGTATAGTTAGTATTTTCAGCAAATTTCAAGGGGAGTGTTTGTAATTTACCCTTATTTATATAAAAGAGTTGGCTACACAACATGGGATAGCCATCTCACATTTGTCATGTAAAACAAAAGCCAAAATGAAATAGGGTGGTGTAGGGTATGTTACAAGAGATCTCTGTTTAGAGTGGACAACATTTTTGGCCAACCTATCAATGACACAGTGTGCTTCCTGGTAAATGTGGTAAAGCTGGATAGTCCATTTACGCCCAAGGAGTGGCTTGCAATATGAAAGCAATTGTGAAGTACCGCTTGATGAAGCAAGAAATAGATAAGGTATGTAGGAATCAGCTTCTTAGAGAAAATGGCTGTATCTATAGTGCCTGGCAATGAGAAGGCCCATTTGAATAGCCCAAAGTTCTGCAACCATACTTGTGGCAGTTCCTATATATTGATTGAACCCAATAAGCTAGTCCCCCAAGTGGTTGCGGAGGATACCTGCATACTTGCTTGGCCTGGTTTCCCTGCGGCATAACCATTAGTATTTAATTTAATGAAAGGTTGAGCAGGTGGTGTCCAATGTACCCAAATATTGTTGTAGATACTTGGTAATTTTGGTGGATGGGCCAACCAAAGACATTTTGTGGTATGTTGCATGATGAGTTTAGGTTGATAAACAAGGGAGTGAGACGGAATAAACTGGAATTTCGCCCAAGCGTTATGCCGGGTAGCAAAGGAAAGCAAAATGGACCAAGGAACTTGGAAGGCCGATTTGATTTGGCTACTGTGAAGGTTAAGTTTAATCTCGTCAAAAGTGGGTAGTGAAGCTTGGGTAACCAGCTTGGGGAATGATAGAATATCACCCCCTATTTATAAAAGAGGATTAGGGTTTACAAGAAATGCAATTTACAAGATGATCCCTGAGTGCTATCCCTGAGTGCATAAAATGATTACAGTGATTACAGACATACCCTAGTGTGCCTTTCGGTGAATATAATATGCTATATAATATGCTAACACTCCCCCTCAAGCTGGTGCGAAGATATCTCTCATGCCCAGCTTGCCTACGATGTCATGAAATGGTTTACTCCCAATTCCCTTGGTGAGAATGTCAGCAAGTTGTTCACCAGACTGGACAAAGGGAGTACAAATGATACCACTAGTGAGTTTCTCCTTAAGGCAGTTCCTATATATTGATTGAACCCAATAAGCTAGTCCCCCAAGTGGTTGCAGAGGATACCTGCATACTTGCTTGAACTGGTTGCCCTGCGGCATAACCATTAGTATTTAATTTAATGAAAGGTTGAGCAGGTGGCGTCCAATGTACCCAAATATTGTTGTAGATACTTGGTAATTTTGGTGGATGGGCCAACCAAAGACATTTTGTGGTATGTTGCATGATGAGTTTAGGTTGATAAACAAGGGAGTGAGACGGAATAAACTGGAATTTCGCCCAAGCGTTATGCCGGGTAGCAAAGGAAAGCAAAATGGACCAAGGAACTTGGAAGGCCGATTTGATTTGGCTACTGTGAAGGTTAAGTTTAATCTCGTCAAAAGTGGGTAGTCGATAGAAAAGTTGAACATCAAAAGAAGGTTGTAACTGAGTCCATATTGCATGAGCCCAAATATAATTCAGCAAATCGTGGATTGGGTGTCATTGGCTTGAGACAACCATAGCAAATGAGAGAGAAGAGGCAGCCCAACTAAGATAGGTTTTAATTGGAATACA